CGCAGGCCTGTCTCTCAGGAAGTCTCTGCAGACCAGCCCCCCATCCCCGTGCCGTGTTTGTGAGGAGCAGGAGACCATCTCCGAGCTCAGCAGCGTGCAGGCCCTGGCAGCCTTGCTCCGCGCCTCCCAGCGCCACGTCGGAGCTGGAGAGCTCTAGCGACATGGCCACAGCTTCCATCTCCGTAACACACACACCCGCAGCCCCTCCCCAGGTCTCCTGGTACTTGCCCTCCTTAGGCCTTCCTGGGAAAAGCAGGGGCTGGGGCCAGGTGCCAGCACCTGGGCAGGGGGCTGCCGCCAGCCCGAGGGATGCCGGGCGCACATCTGCGCCTGAGGGTTTAACACTTGGAGCAAGTTCTTCGACAAGAAGCCACTGCGTTGCTTAATTGTTTGTAAATGGCTAAAAGCCGCCCAGGTAAAAGCGGCTCTAGAAGGGAGGAGAGTCCTGAAGCTCTGCTTCCCTCCGGGAGGTGGTCCAGGGGACAGATGGGCCCGTGGTTGACCCACAAACCTTCCCGTTCCACAGGTCGCTGAAGAACAATACCATGGCCAGAACGAGCTCGTTTCCAACCTGCGGAAGGAGCTGGCTGCCTGCGACAGCTCCAACAGCGGGTCCCTGACCAGCGACCAGTTCAGGCAAGAAGGGGACGGTTGCCCACCGAGCTCTGCCCACCTCTGGCGTGAGGTTTAGAATAACCTCAGTACTGCAGGGTTTGGGCTGTGCAGCTGGAGAGGCACGAGGGCAGACTTGGGGCGCTTCACACATGCACGGGGACAGGCTGGCAGCCCCTGCACCCCGCCACACTCCCTGAGGGGACGCGGGACCCTACTCGGTGCTCCTGCAGGACCCTACTCGGTGCTTCTGCAGGGCCCTACACGGTGCTCCTGTGCCCTCCCAGGAGGGGTCACAAAGTATTTCAGTGAACGTTGTTACAGGTGCAGGGTTTGTCCATCTTCTCCCCGTCAACCAATCTTGAGCGAAACCCTAAACACAGGATTTCTTTGGGCGATAGTCGCTTCCCGCCCCCACAGCCCCGGGCCGTAGCACATGTTCCCTCAGCTGGGAACATGGCTCTGGTACGGACACTCCAGCCAGTTCGCTCTCGGCTACCAGCTAACCGATACGGTCACGTTCGGAGTTGCCCACCTGGCTCAGCATCCAACGCTCACCCCAGTCCTGAGCTCTGCTGAAAGCTTTGCCCTTGCTTTGGTATTTGAAGGCGCGTGCACGTCTCAAAACGCGATTCCCGTGTAAGCAATGAGTGTTTGAAGACCTGGCCCATGGAATACTCGTACGCCCTGGTAGCCTAAAACCCAGCCGGCCGCACTGGCGGTCGTTACGTGCTGGTACTGTAACAGCGTGCGCACTCCTGCCCGTGTTGCCTGTCTCTGTACAGCACGGCGGTGAGGGAAGCTTTTCCCCTGAAAAGGGAAGAGTCCATCCAAGAACTACTCGCTGCAAGCAGGTACAAGCTGGACAGCACTGAAGACCTCATCGACTACGCATCCTTATTCAAAGAAGTAAGTTGTTACTTCAGTTTTCCTTTTGATTCAGATCAGGCCTAATTCAGGCCTTAAATTAGTCTTACCAGACTAACTAGGATTCCAGACTAACAAAGTTGCAGTGCCCACCATAAGCTTTAGCACCCAAAGGCCATCTGCCCACAACAGCAACGCAAGCTCGTGCCTTTTCTGTGACAGGGGTTTTTCCATATTCCTTCTCTTTATTTCCACTTTTCCCATGGAAATTCCCCTCCTAGGAGAAACGAGTCAGTTTAACACGCACTGGGGGCAGCTGCTATCCAGACTGGAGCACAGGTTGGGTGCTAACACACCTGTCATTCCTTTCAGGACGAGGAGGGGAACGCTGAACCCTTCGTTGCCAAGCTGAGGAGCCAGTATGTCAGGGAGAAGCAGGAGTACCTGGGACAGGTGAAGAACGAGCTGGGAGATTTAACGTAAGCCAGGAGGGCAGGGGCTGGTGGGGGTGGTTGATCAGGACAGCGCGTGTGGACACAGGAGGGCCCCAGCTGTGAATGTTGCAGTCAGTACCAAAACCCGGCTGAGCACGGCTCGACAAAACGCTGCCCAGCGTTAGTTCCTGAGCCGAAGGGCTTGGATAGGGCAGGCAGTGAGCAGAGAGGATTGGTTGTACCAACGATCCCCTCTAGTACTTCCTGTCTCGTCTCTCAACACTCCTCAGCTCTCCCAACCCAGCAGTAAAATGCTGTGTATCCTCACAGCTTGGTTCTGAGGAGTGGGAAGAGCGAACAGGACTGACGGCTGCAGATTTAAAGGCATAATTCCACCTCAAACTAAGAGAAACGAGAGGTAGTTACTACACACAAAAAAATCGCGTGGCAGGCCCCAAGTGCGGGGGAGAACATGTGGGGTAGGTGCCCCCGGAGCACTGTCCAACGCGGGCGCTGCGCGAGGGAAAAGGCAGCTCTGCAGCAAAGGGTACCACAGCGCACAGCAGTGAATTTAAGGTCTTCCCAGGCTATCGCAAGCCTAACACTTCCTAACTTCTAGAAATTTAGTACTAGGCAGTCTTTATTACGTACGTATTTAAAAAACCACAGGGATGCTCGTGAGGCAGAGGTAACCGTATTGAAAGACATCCCTGTGCTGCATTTCAAGCAGCACGGATTCTCTCCGTGGCACGACCACATCAGCGTTCCTCTCACGTAGTGCAGCACAGCAGTGACCAAGTTGTTTCTGAACAGAGAGGTGAGAGCAGACGATCTGAAAACCGCCTTCTGCACGATCGACCCGGCTATCGATGATCGGACACTGGACACCTACATCAGCCTGGCTTACCAGGCCCCAAGGGAACAGCCAGACCGAGAAGTTGTCCCTGTGGAAACTGCACTTGAGAGACTACTCGCGGGAGATGTGAGACGAGTGGGGCCCTCACCCAGGGCGGGAAGCACAGCAGGCTTTGAAGGAGAGTAAGACGACTTCCAGTGTTAAAAATAAACGGACTGTTTGACCTACGGGTCTGGCTCCCAAGCCCAGAGTCAGTTACTGCACCAAGTACTCCTCCCCACGCATGCAGGTACAGCATGCGGGTACAGCACGCAGGGAGAACATGCAGGTACAGCATGCAGGTGCAGGTAGAGCATGCGTGGGGAGGAGTACTTGGTGCAGTAACCGCTGTAACAGCCGAGAGGACGAGCTAGCTTGACCTAGGAGCAGCACTTCCAGTGCACGCGGCAAAGCAGCCCAGTACAGTCTGGCTGCCTCTGGAGAGTCATTTCAGCTCAGGGAGACCAGCGGTGGGACGCTGCCCCATCAGCGTCGCTCAGCTCTGAGCTGCAAAAGCGACCCAAGGACAGAAAGCTGAAACCTGTCCCTTGCTTCCGGGGAGACACCATGTGCCGTTTGGTAAGTGCCTTTCCAAGCACTGGCATCAATCAATCTTAGTGTCCTCTCCACCCAGCACAGCCCTCCCCAGGGAGGGGAGTACGGGTGCTTGAAGAGAAAACCCATAGGAAAACAGCTCTGCTGTGGTCAGGCCTGAACTGCCAAGTAAGTGGAGCAAATCCGAGAAGCAAAACCTGTTCTTTTTCCCAGAACACAGTTTGAAAAGTAGAAAGCTGGGATCAGCTGAAATTGCAAAACCAGACTGCATTTGTAAAGGGGACAGGCGTCGTGGCCAGCGTGACAGAGCCAGTACCACCCAGAGGTACGAGGCCCCTGGAGTGTCTACCCTGAATACTGAACGCAGAGCCAGGCGCTTCCAACACAGATCACAAAATACCCAAACTCGTCTCCACACGAGAGAAAGGCCAGATGGGGAATCCCACCTGATCCTCTCACCCCCGCCGGCCAAAGCCCCAGCACCTCCTGCCTGCGGCTGGGAGCGCGTCCAGCATGGCTGCGGGAGGAGGCAACGCAGCGGAAGGGACGAGGAACCAGCAGCTTCTTCCCAGGAGGTTCTGTCCTTGGGAAAAAGGGGGTTTTCAGGGTGCTTCAGCAATGCAGGGAAAAGAAGTGCCAAACTTTGTTACTACTCAGATCCAGATTTCCAAACTCTGGCCTGCTGAGCCTTGAGGACACACTGGAAAAGTCCCATAATGGCAGAAAATGTATTTTAAAAAGCACAAGGAACAGGTTTGTTCAAACAACAAAGCTCTTTCCTTTGGTGTATTGAAGGGGAAAAAAAGCCCCCTTGGTTGTATTACTGGAATTATGTTTTAAAAATAACAAACTTGGAAACAGACTGACCTTTGTGTGGGTGTTGCCTGCCAAAGAGGCCGTAACATAGAATCATGGAATCACAGAACAGTTTGGGTTGGAAGGGACCTTAAAGATCATCCAGTTCCAACCCCCCTGCCATGGGCAGGGACCCCTTCCACTAGACCAGGTTGCTCCAAGCCTCATCCAGCCTGGCCTTGGACACTTCCAGGGATGGGGCATCCACAGCTTCTCTGGGCAACCTGTTCCAGGGCCTCACCCCCCTCTCCGGGAAGAATTTCTTCCTGATATCCACTCTAAACCTCCCCACTTTCAATTTAACCCCGTTCCCCCTTGTCCTGTCACTACAGACCCTTGTAAAAAGTCCCCCCCAGCTTCCTTGTAGCCCCTCCAGGTACTGGAAGGTGTTATAAGGTCTCCCCAGAGCCTTCTCTTCTCCAGGCTGAACACCCCCAACTCTCAGCCTGTCCCCATAGCAGAGGGGCTCCAGCCCTCTGGGCATCTTTGTGGCCTCCTCTGGACTCGCTCCAAACGGTCTATATCCTTCTGGTGTTGAGGGCTCCACAGCTGTAACCACACAGTCATCGCTCCCCTCAGTGCCAGAGCTGCTGCCCATGCTCGTGGCACTGCCAGGAGCTGGGCTGGATTTCCAGCAGCCCCTGCCAACTGCGGCACTGGGCTGTGGCTTTGGGAAGCCGCGCACGCAGCTTAACCCCGAGCCCGGGTGGGACTCGGGGCAGGCGGAGGGTGGGGAGACACAAGCAGAGGGTGACAGGCGTCCCGCCTGACCCCAGCTGGCAGCGGGGGCCCGCACAGCCTGTCCTGCCCCGGGAGCATCAGAAGAGCCGCCAGTGAGAGGAGGTTTGTGCTGAGCTTTGACTCCTGTGACCAGCTGTGCTGACTGTGCCCAGCCCCGCACCGTCCTGCTTGAGACTGCAAAGACTGCAAAGCAGCAGCCTCCAGCCATCCCAGACAGCAGGAAATGAATCCACGTGAAGACGCACGGCGAAGTCAAATTGATCCATTTAAAGGCTAAAGGGTTTCAAGACAGAGGAGCTAAAAATCAGGGGGAGGATAAAATCACTGGATTGTCCTCAAAAAATAGACATGTGCTGTGTGTTACCGTGGGGACTGCAGAAGCGAAGCCACAGGAGGATGTCAGACCGACCCCCTGGCAAAGACGCTGACGACAAACACATCAGACGCGTACGTGTGACGGGCGTCTCTCTCCCAGCCTGGGAACGGTCTCCGAACGTCCCACCCGAAATCCCCCGCCATGGCCAGCTCACTCCTGGTTTCGGTTCACTGTAGCAGTAGAACCACATGCGAGGATTTTGCTTGCATCGTCTCCCTGCTCGAGGCACACGCCGGGGAAGGCTCTCAGCGGGAGCGGCGCAGCAGGAACCCCACGGTGTGCCGAACGCGCTGGGGGTCCGTTCCCACTTGTGGTGTCGCTGCCCGGGCCTTGCAGCTCTGGGCGGGGATGTGGGAGGCCAGCGCATGACAGAGGGGAGCATGCTGACCTCCGCGGCCGGCAGAGCCGGACCCTGCCGCGCGGCCCAGGTCCCGGCTCAGCCTGCCTCCTGCATGTGGCTTTCCAGACACGTCCCTGCACACAATCAGGGGACAGCACCAGGGCTGGCAGAAAAACTTCGGGGGAGCACAGCCTTCAGCTCTGCGGTCATGCCACCGTCACCCCCAGCCCTCTCACCCCCCCGCAACTGGACAGGGGAGAAATAAGATGAAAAAGCCCGTGGGTCAAGTTAGAGACAGGGAGGTCGCTCCCCAGTTACTGGTGTGGTCCAAGCAGATTTGATTAATTCATCAATTAAAAACACATCAGGATACTGAGGAATAAAGACATAACTATCTTCCCCAAAAAAAAAATCTCAATCCTCCTTGCCAAGCAGGACATAGAGAAAAGGGGCTTCCCTGCTGCTCCCTCTCACACCCTTCCCCTGCTCCGAGCAGGGTCCCTCCCATGGGTCCCCCCAGTTCCTGTCTGTTCTCTTCTCCAAGGGCTGCAGCTTCCCGCAGGGCACATCCACCCACGTGTCGTGCCGGGGGGTTGTTCACCAGCTGTGGGGCAGATCTTTGCTTCCCCCCGGGCTGCTCCACGGGCTGCGGTGGGATAACCTGCTTCCCCCCAGGCTGCTCCGTGGGCTGCGGTGGGAGTCTGCTCCAGCACCACCTCCTCTACTGGGTGGAGTGGCACCCACTCCGGTGGATGCAGGGCTGTTTCTCCTCCCTCCATGGCGTTTTGACCTTTTTTAAGCACAGTACCAGAGGTATCATCTCAGCATCGCCAATGGGCTCTGCTTCGGGCAGCAGTGGGTCCATCTGAGAGGTAGCTGGAACTGGCTCTGTCCAACACAGGGCCAAAGGCCTCTCCCGCTGCCTTCCCCCATCCCAGCACCGAAACCTTGCCACCTAAACCCAACACACAGCGGAATCACTCCCAGTCCCTACGGTGTGCGCACCAGAAACCTTCACCTCTAAACCACCCTAAACTGCTGCTTGCTAATTCCCCGTGAGATTAGTCACGTGAGAAGCATAGTTTCCTGTTGCAGTGAACAGCTGCAGCCAGGGATGGGTTACACTCTCCTCCGGACAGAGCACAGCAGACCAGGTTTGCAAAGGGGGACAAACCCAAAGTTCGAAAGCCCTGGCACTAGGAAAACGCCCAGCTAAAACCAGGATCTGCTTCCCTCCGCGAGGCTGCCCATCACGGCGCTCCTCCGAGCAAAGCACTGGTCGGTACTAAGAGCATCAACACAGCTCGCTGCCTACAGGAACGTCTGAGCAACGCGAGGCAGCAGCCCATCAGCTCAGCAGGACAAGCAGCACCTGCATCACGCAGAATACACACAATATTTTATTTATCAGAGCTGTACAAGCATGCAAAGGTAAGAAAACAGTTCATGGTACTCCAACGACTTGTAAGAAGAGGGTGTGAGACGCAGCAGGCGGGTGCAGCCGCAGCACAAGCTGCACTGGCGCAGAACGCCGACCGCTCATGGCAAACCATCACGGGGGACAACCCGCAGCCAGCCCCCGGGCACAGGCTGCCCTCCGGGCCACCGCCGCAGGGCACCATCATTTGGAGGGGACCACCTTGTTCCCAGGCCTAAGAGGC